TTTTTCAAGGTTATTTTAGCGTTGAAGTTTGGTTACCAAACACCCTGTATCATTTCCATATTAAAAAAGACGAGTTTGATTAGTGTGATTGGTTTGATTCTTTGGACAGATATGTTTATGGTCTTTCATGGCGGCTGCTTTGTGAGGGGTCTAGTAGACCTGAACTTCTATCCACATTTTTAATTAATTGGCTCAATCAAGATTCAATATAAATTGTGAAAATCTCATATAAATTAATAAATTTTATCAAATTTTCTTCATTTATTGTGACCTGTAATAATGAAATCCAGTAGAATAATGTGGGTGTTTAGAAAGTGGGTTTTTTTTTATAGATTTTTTTAGTTGTAGGATATTATTGGAGAAAAAAATTGTGTTTGAAAAGGTAGTTAGATTTTTTTATAATTGGATGTGATATTTGTGAGACAAAAAGTAAAATGATTATAGGATTTGATGTGATATTTTGTTTGGATTTGTTTTTTTTCGATTTTGTAACTAATTTGTCTTTTAGCGAAAAAAAAAAAAAAAATCCTTTCCAAACACCCTAAGGCCTCGTTTAGGCAGGGCCGGCCCTGAGCTAAGGCGAGTAAGGCCTGTGCCTAGGGCCCCCAAAATTTGGCCCAAAATAAGGCCCCAAATTTTGAAGATCCATTATATTATCAAGTTTTAAATAAAGTCCAATTATTGTTAGAAGCCTCAAAAACAAAACAACCCACTAAAATAGAAGCCCTCCAAAATAAAACAGCCCACTATAAAAGGCCCAAATAAAAACATGTTGCAGGCTTATATTAAAAACAAATAAAAAAATTAATCCAATTGAAAAAACAAAGGGCCCAAATTTACTCAAGCAAACTTGAGTGGCCACTAGCAAATTTTTTTTTTTTTTGGGCGTATGTACAAGGGGCCCAAATTTATAAACTCACCTAGGGCCCCTGAATTTTCAGGGCCGGCCCTGCGTTTAGGAATAAGTTTTTTCAATAATTTTTTAATTTTTTTACTAAAATATGATGTTAAGAAAATTGGTATATTTAAAAAGAATTTTTTAATTTTTTATGAAAAAAAATATATATATGTATATAAATAAAGTAAAAATAAATAAAATAACATTTTTATCCTTAAAAAGTTACTGTTCAATTCGTCATGACTTCACCTAACACACTGTCAAATGAACTGATGCAGCAGAGGGCTCAGCATGGCAGCTATATCCATGGAAAATATAGGGGTTATTGCCATAATGTTGGTATGGATGGACTTCACCGATTTTATTTTATTTTTTTTAAAAATAATTGTACAAACAATAATATTAGGTAGTTCAAAATTTTATGGCTCAAATGGCTCAAATCCCTCAAAACGACGTCGTTTTGAGTGTAAATGAGTGTAAAACGACGTCGTCTTGAGGGATTTGAGCCATTTGAGCCACAAAATTTTAAGCTACCAAACATTTTCCTGGTACAAATTAGACTTCACCAATTTTGTAATTAGGAAAAATAGTCATAAATAAAATGTTCAAGTTGCAATTTAATTGACGATTTTGTAGTTAGGAGAAATAGTCATAAATAAAATGTCAAGTTGCAATTTAATTGACGAAAATGCTGTGTTATAATTTGTAAAAAAATATAATTATATTAAATTTTTTTCAAAAATTATTTCAAAACTCATTACGAAACAATTTTCACAACTACCTGGTAATTGTGCATATGTCCAAACTCTTTGCAAATCTTCATTAAAATTAAATGAACACATCAATACCAAATTCTTTACAAAACTCTATTTTTCTCAAAAAATATATAAAAAGAAATCAAATATTGGACTTCACTAATTTAATATTCCGAAAAAAGTTCTCATAAGAAAAAAAAAAAAGAACAATTAATTTACAAAAATGTTATGTTGTGATTTGTGAAATATAATCAGGTTGTTTAGTTTGGCTTTTCAAGATTTACTTATTGAAAAACTAGAATTTGAAATATTTCGTAATTTTTTGTTGCACTGAATTATTATTCAATTTCTAAGCAATTTATTTAAGTATTAGATACACATAACCAAAAAAAAAAATTGAAAAAAATAGAATATTTGTGAAATTTTTTTTACAAAATTAAATAGCAAAAATTAAAAAAAATAAAATGTTAATCAATGTAGTACATTTTCTATGTTGTTATGTAATTATTTTGTAATATATTGGGGTCTTTTGACTCAGAAGTAACAATGCAATCAATAATAGAAAGCAACATAACTTGGCTCTGATACTAAATGGAAAGGAAGCAAGGATCAAGACGAAGCATGGAAACACAAATAATTGAAATAGCACAAAACATTTATTTAAAACATTTAAATACAATAATAACTTATAATTAATTGCAGTTGCTGTAGTACTGTATTGCTTCAAAATACATTTTTAACTTTATCTTTTAATTTTTATTTTTCTTTACATTTATTAGTATAATGGCCTTTTTTACCACAGTTATAACAAGTAATATCTTTATTAGATTTAGATTTTGGATGCGATTTTTTATAATATTTTCTCTTGGGTTTAGTATAAAATTTATCATTTGATTTGGAAGGTGAATAATTCGTTTTGTATTTATTAGAATATTTATATGATGATTTATGTTTATATTTATGTGATTTACGACGAGAGGGTGCTACCGGAGGTAGACCATATTGTTCACAGAAATTTCTTAATTCATATTTAGCTTTATGTTTATCTTTGGTAGCTTTTTGACTAAGTTTAAGATCAATACACATTTTTAATCCTTCTTTTTGGATAGTGCTAATTATATCACTATAAGTTAAATTATCATATTCAATAACGCCAGTGGGTTGACTAAGAACATCTCTAATTTTATGAGCAAAAAGACTAGGTAAGCCATTAATAAATTTTTCTTTCCAAAAAGATTTAGTACAGTCTTCCCTTAACATAACTCTAGAGGTAAAGACATCTTTATACCATCTAAAATCACTTAATGTTGGGCAAGTAAGGTTACTAAGCTTATCATGTATGCGAGAATATATATTTGTAGGAGTTACTATGAAATGTCTGACTATGGTATAGATTAGTGTATTAATACCATCCGGTTTGTAATACCCAATAGTTTCATCAAATATAGGCAAATCATTTTCATCTTTTTGATTAACATGTAAAATAGATTCGCGTTGATACCAAATGGAAAGGAAGTAGGGATCAAGACGAAGCACGGAAATACAGATAATTGAAATAGCACAAAATATTTATTTAAAACATTTAAATACAATAATAACTTACAATTAATTGCAGTTGCTGTAGTACTATATTGCTTCAAAATACATTTTTAAATAAAAGCAGATAGCAGATTGACTAGTTGACTAGGTGTTGGTTCTTACTCAGTTCTCACACAGAACTTTACAGTTTTGAACCTCCTACTATAAATGAATTAACCATTACAATTTATAGAAAGAAAATTAACTATGCAGCATGTGACTTGGGGTTGATCATGAGAGCAGCTGGCAGCACATGGGCAAAAGCAGGCTGTCTGATGCTTTCGGCTGATTGACAAAAGTTGAAGCAACTTTTAACAGATTGATTGAGTGATGAACAGTAAAAGTGAATAGTGACTTTTTACTATTCATTACTTTCGGTGAAAACATGTTAATAAGGGAATCAATATAAATACAAATTGGCAGCTTTTCTCCAAAGAGTGTTGATTGAAGCTAATTTGTATCTATATGGAATCCAATGCAGGGTTGATTAAGCATATGGGTCCTGAGCATCTTGGAACTCAAGTCCATATGGGTTTTGAGTAGTTGAACCTTCAGAAGAGGTTGAACTGTCTGAACTTTCTTTTGAATTGTTGTTATCCGAATTATCCGAATCTGACTGGGCTTCAGCCTGATCAACAAGCAGACGGGCCATCTTGAGAAGCTCATCTCGGGATGACTTGGTTTTAACCTTAGGCTTAGCAGGAGATACATGAGTTGTAGATTTAGCCTTGGACTTTGTTTTAGCCTTGGACTTGGGCTGAGCAGAGCTGGGCTTAGCTGTCGTAGATTGAATCTTTGATTTGGATGACTTAGGCTTAGAAGAGCTTGAAGTTGGGCTTCCAAGATTAACAGTAGGAAGTTGGCTTCCTTGGGTAATTGATGCAGTTGAGATCTGCTGAGCTTTAACCATGGCAGGTATCGGAGCATGAATGTTAATGGGGAGCTAAGTTTGAACAAGTTCAACAATGCGGGGAATTTTGTAATTATCCCACCATTTAACCGAATGTATCCTTTGAATCACATCATCAGAAATGCCATAGTGCCATTTAAATATCCAAGGGATCTTATATTTGGATATAAAAATGAGCAATTTAGGGAATTTCTTCTATTGTGGAGTGAATGAGAAAACAGTTGAAAAATAGTTAACCTGTTCCAGCACAATAGCTGGGAAGATATCTGAAATGGCGCCATAATGAGTCCACCATCGTAGAAACCAAGTAAGTAATTCAGATTTAAACTTTTGATCAAACTGAATGAACCAAGAGTGACTAAAGGTTTCAGTCTGATACAGAAATATTTTGAACCAGGCATCAATATAGTCATAATAACTATACTGAAGAGAGTGATTAGGCATATCTCGAAGCTGATAAGGAGAACCCCATTCAGCCAGGGAAACAATGTTATGAATATAAAGGGAATGGTAAACAACTTTACTAGTGTAAATTCGATCATAAATGAGTTTAATCACAATGGATTGATGGTTAAACAGAATGTCTTTATAGAAGGTGATTGTTTTCTCTGGATGCATGGGAACAAAATGCCATCCAGGAGAAAAATTGGATTTAACCAAGTCATTAACAGACTGACTTTTTGGATGACTAGGTTCTTTGAAGAATAGGTTAGTAGTGGTTGACTTAACATAATCAAATCGGGCAGTTTTAATAGGATTAGGAGGATATGGAGTAACTTCTTGGCAAGATGAAGCAAAGGGATCAGTAGCCAAAGCAGATGTGTAGCTAGGTTTGGGAATGTTACCAAGGACTTGGTAATGATTAATCATTTCAATAGGATGGTATTGGGTTACTAGCTCCAAAGGAGGAGGAACACTGTGTTGATCAGATGGGACCAGGGCTTTGGAATGAGGCATGGGATGAGACATCTGCTTAATAGAAACAAAGATTAGCAATGAAGATTAACAACTACTAAGGAGATCTAAGTAGGCTTGATGAAAATCCAAACAGTTGTAATAATTAACAAGTAAATGACAACAAGCTTGAATCTGATGGTAGTTAATATACTGAGCACGTGAAGTAGTTTTTCTGGCTAATTTTAGTCGAGTGATTCTGTAAGCAGTTTGGTGAATTAGATCACGGTAATGGGTGATTTGGGTTTTATGGTAAGAAATAAAAGGAGTGGCCATCTCTATCCCCCTTGTAAAAATTCTCGAGTAAGAAAATCAGGAATAGAATTTTGACAATCAGGTATATATTCAATATCAAAATAAAAAATACTTAAAATAGATTGCCATCGGGCAAAAATTTGCTTACTAGCAAGATTTTGAACATCTTTTTCTAAAACATATTTAGTAGATTTACAATCAACACGAAGTAAAAACTTTTGATTTAAAATATCATCTTGAAATTTACTAATACATAAAACAGTAGATAAAATTTCTTTTTTAATAGTACTATAATTTAATTGTACTTTATTCCAGACACCAGAATGATAACGAACAAGTTGTTCAGAAGATTGGGGAGTGACTTTCTGAAGAAGAATGCCACCATAACCAATATCAGAAGCATCAGTTTGAATAATTTTGAAGGAATTATCAGTAAGAATACCAAGATAAGGAAGAGATCTGACATAGTGCTTGACTTGTTGAACAATAGTAGTATGAGTAGAAGACCAAGGAGGAGGATTATCCTTCAACCGATCAAAGAGAGGTTGACAAGTTTTCCTAAGGTCTTTGTAAAATTTAGCAATGTAATCGAGTGAACCTAAAAACCGTTGTAATTGGGTTTTATCTAAAATTTCATCGGGAAACTTAGATGCAAACTCAATGGAGCGACTAATAGGTAAAAGTGTATTTTGATAAATATCATATCCTAAAAATCGGGCTTTAGTTTGGAACAATTTAATCTTAGGAGCAGATATAATTAGACCATGACTTTTAATAGTGTAAAAGAATGCAGTTAAATGTTTCCAATGCGCACTAATGGATTGGGAAAAAATTAATATGTCATCTATATAGACAATAGAAAAATGACTAAATGGGTTAAAAATATCATTCATTATATTTTGGAATTCACTAGGAGCATTTTTTAATTCAAATGGCATGACATTCCATTCATAGTGACCAAAAGGTGTAATAAAAGTTGTTTTATATCCATCTTTAGGATGAATTTGTATTTGCCAAAAACCACTTTTTAAATCAAATTTACTAAAAATAACATCTTAACTAAGTCTTTTAATCAAATCTTTTTTATTAGGAATTGGATAGCGGATCCATTCTAAAACTTTATTTAATGGTTTATAATTGATAACTAGGCGAAGGACACCTCATTCTAATTCAACATTTTTATTAACATAAAAAGCAGGACAAGACCATGGAGATTTACTTAGACTAATTATTCTATTTTTTAGTAATTCATTAATTTCGTTTTTACACATTTCAAGTAATTCATGATTCATTTGAATAGGTCTTGATTTAGTAGGGATTTGTCGTTCATGAAAATTCTTAATATATGGTAATGTAACTACATACTTTTTCCTATGCCAGAATGCAGTAGGTAAAGTAGAACAAACATTTGTTTCTAATTTTAATTTAAATTCATGAATTTGAGAAATAAGAGCTGGATCAATTAATTGTTGATCAATTTTCTTATAATTGATTTCATCTTTAAGAAAACGTAACTGACGAGTTAATCGATTAATAGTTTGAGAAATAGAACAATCTTTTAATTGATTTAATTCTAACATTTCAGTTGGAGACAAGAATTGAAAAGTAACAGGTTAGCCTAAAACATGAGTAGTTATTCCTTCACTAGATGTAGTAAATGGATATAATAAATATATAAATGGTGTGCCTAAAATAACATTATCAGTCATATTTTGAACCAAAATAAATGAAGTTTTAAAACAAACATTATTTTGACAAATATGAACTTTAGGTAATTTATATCGAATATGCATTTTACTACCATTAGTAGAAGTTAACTGTTCATGACATTTTTCATAATATTTAGTAGCGAGTAATCCTTCTTGAATGCAATTAAGATCAGCACTAGTATCAATTAAAGCAATAACATCTAATTCAAAATTATTAATAACAATTTTAGCTTTGGAATACCATTTTTGAATATGAATTTTATTAATAAGATTTAATCAGTTATCTTCAGGATTGGAATGGTGTGATCGATTATCAAACAAAAGATTTTTAGGATTAGTATGATCAAAATCATGATCAGATTCATGAGGAGATTCATTATTATTGTTGTGGAAATTTTCTAAACTTTTATTAAGTTTTAATGTAATAATTTCATCTTCTAATGATTTATCTTTATTTTGTAAATCTTTAATAATGTATTGATTTCATGTTGTAAATCTTGAAGAGTAATTTCTTTTTGTTTAGTTTTAAATCTCTCTAGGGTTTTAGATAAACTAATAATAGGTTTATCAAACTTAGGTTCTCGATCGGGATTGTTTAATAAAGATTTAAGTTTATTAGTATATTTTTGTTTTAAGTCTGGATCTTCTAATTGACTAATTAATGTAATAAGAGCAGATTCTTCTTGACTTTGTTTAGTAAGAACAGTGATTTGTTTAACTGGTTTACAACAAACATCATTACATCCTAATTTAATATTATTATCAGAATCTTCACTGGTGAATGGTAATCAGATGAAGTATTAGGATTATCAGAAGAGGAATTACTAACAGATTGATTTAATTGAAAGATTTCATATAATTGATTTTTTGATTCATTATCAATTTGGAGTTGATTAACTTTATCTTTTAATTTTTGTTTTTCTTTACATTTATTAGTATAATGGCCTTTTTTACTACAGTTATAACAAGTAATATCTTTATTAGATTTAGATTTTGAATGTGATTTTTTATAATATTTTTTCTTAGGTTTAGTATAAAATTTATCATTTGATTTAGAAGGTGAATAATTCGTTTTGTATTTATTAGAATATTTATATGATGATTTATGTTTATATTTATGTGATTTACGACGAGAGGGTGCAACCGGAGGTAGACCATATTGTTCACAGAAATTTTCTAATTCATATTTAGCCTTATGTTTATCTTTAGTAGCTTTTTGACTAAGTTTAAGATCAATACACATTTTTAATCCTTGTTTTTGGATAGTACTAATTATATCACCATAAGTTAAATTATCATATTCAATAACGCCAGTGGGTTGACTAAGAACATTTCTAATTTTATGAGCAAAAAGACTAGGTAAGCCATTAATAAATTTTTCTTTCCAAAAAGATTTAGTACAGTTGTAACAACCCTCATCACTGATCACTGATCGATTACTGATTACTGCTAAACTGAGACTGATTATGATGGGTAATTGAACTGATTGAAATACTGAACTGACTAACTGACTGAAATCTGAAACTGATTGATTGAATATATCTATTTGAATTGCATTTCTATCTATTTGACTGTTTGATTATCTGTTTATGTTTTTATATTTAAACTGCAAATTGAAGGCCTTATCGGCGGCCGAACCAGAAATTGATTAGTGTTTCATGATCAGTAGAATTTATGTGATTTAATGATGTATTTATCTGAAATGGGATTTAGTATGATTAAATTAGATTAAAATAAGCTAAACTAAACAAGTTGCCTTATTTACGGAAATGCCATTGTGAGTGGGCCCTTATTATAACATATTTGAGCCTTCAAAACATTTCTTCAGCTCATTTCCTTGAACATCACAACCAACCAAGAGGAGAGTGAGAGGTTTGGAGTGAATTCAACTTGATTTTGTGCATTGGCTTGAAGAATTGGAATATAGGTTGCAAGTTAAGCTTCCTCACCTTGTATTGGAGACTTAGGTAAGAGAATTCAACCTCTCATTGTTGTGGTTAAGCTTGTTCTTGCATGGTTTTGAGCAAAGTTGAAGTCTAGAGCCAATTTATGGCTCAAATTGTTGAATTGGAGCTTAAGTGT